CAGAGGAGCGGTGATGGTAATGTGGCGTATTTATTTGCTTCGTCCCTTCCCGCCACGGAGATTTCCACGTTTCTGCTCAATTTCCGCAAAGATAAATATAATTATCTTTTGCGACCTCAATAACAAGAATTATAACTATAAAACTTTTTACTCGTTGTTAATTTCTTGCGAGATAAAAAAAATGAAGAAGATTCTTCAATTTTTTCTCAATTTAGAAAAAAAACACTCACTAATTGGAATACAATCTTTGCTTTTTTTAACATATTTCATGTAAGTTATTGTGCGTATAAAAAATATAAAAACATAAATGTATTGAGTGACACCAACTGATGATAGTGTTATTCGCAACATCGTGAGAACGTAACATTAACAATTAATTATTACACCAAGTTTTGTTTCGCTCTCTCTCTCTCTCTCTCTCTCTCTCTCTCTTTTCTCGCTTCTCGCAACCATGTTTGTTTCAGAAACTTCTTGCGAAGAGATTTGGAAATGAGAAATGAATAATTGAGTCGATCTTTCAATTAAGTAGCGTTGCCTCGTGTACTCCAGCTAAGAATTTTAATTAACTCAGCAACTCAATTTGCTATCACAGTTCGCGTCACGGTTGATGCGAGAATTTTGAGATTGAATGAGGCGTGTGCGCGTTAACATCTCTCTTTTAACGTACACACAACAACGCGAGAAGATTTACCTCGCCATTAGCAGACGGGAAGCGGGAATGAAATCGGCTCACCGCACTTCGTGAAAAAATTATGAGTCCTACATTGTAAAACTTTTTTTATTTAATTAAAGTAGAAATTTTTGCAAACTAAAATGCCACGGAAAGTTACCTTTTAACTTGGATCGATGTATTATGGTCACACATTATTCATGAAACACGTGACGCGCGGTGCCAACAAAGACCTTGGAAAATCTCTATACAGAATCAAAATTACGGCTTGCGAAATTACGTCGTGTAATTAAAATCTTTGGTACATCGAGTTTTTACATGCTTCTTTCTGCAAATTGACGCTCGTCAAACGTGCGAGCGTATTTGTAATTTTGCGATAAAAAATTCCCGGTCATTTCGCACGTAATCTTTCATTTTCCCGGTTTATTATCCGTTTGACGTGACGGCGGAGACTCTTGTTCTCTTTCCAGGAATGAGAGAACGTATTATACATATTATGGACCAGTCTGGACTTAACGACAGAGGATATGTATTCAGTGAAGAGAAGTTTCGTCAGTCATAGAGCTTTGCGTTCGTCCGGCGGTAATTGCTATTAACTTGAATATCGAGCCGTCGTCGTCGTCGTCGTCATCGTCGTCGTCGTCGCAACTCCGCTTCGAAGTTCATGCCAAATCGCCTCAACTAAACCGCGCGGAGACATCCCGCCGGTTATAACTAGGCCGCGCGTTCGCGAAAGTGTGGACGGGTCCTATAATTATTGCGCGACGTGTTCACAAGCGAGAGGGCGGAAGTGGGAGAACTTGGTCGTGTCTTCCGTTCGAGAGAACTTCCGGACGATATTGATGAGCCGTGGGGAGCAGCCTGTTAACGCGATTGTTCGAGCGGTTCAGCAAACAATCGCGAGCGAGCAAGTGCGAGCTATGGTTTGATTCTGCGATTTGCCCATTGAAGTGAACAGCGTGTTCCTCGGAGGTTTATTATTAGTTGTACCGTAAGAGGAAAGATTGACGCGAGAACCAGACTGCGTGCGATGATAATATAATTATACGAGATATGATATGTAAGTAATATTTCGCGGACAGACTTCAAAAATGTGACCTAGTTGAACAGACTGGATCTGCGCGACTTTAAAATCGAATAAAATTTCCGCAAAAAATCAATATTTTTTCAATTTTGTTTATTTTTTTGTAATCGAAAGTTTGAACAATTTTCTGCTCCGATAAAAAAATAAATTGAAAAAATCTTCAGTTGTTTCAAAAATATAAGCGTTTAAAAAAAAACCTAATTTTCACCAGAATCTAGGAGACCCATGTCTGTCCGCAAAGAGTTAAAATTGTACACACACACACACACATATTGAAGTTACTAATTATTATTTATTATTATTATTTTTAGTTACTTGTTATTTTGTTAAATAATATTCAAAATTTGTTTGTTGATTGCATGGGCGGAACAATACATGAAATATATATGTATGTATATATATATGTGTACATATACAGGTAAATATGTGTATATATAGTTTGGTATTAAGTTGAAAGTACGGTAAACGCGTAACTCCGCCGTTTAGCTTGCAAACGGAAGACGTGTAGTTGATTTACTATTACGACGCTTGCACAGAGGCAGCTTGTGGATCAAAGGATGCTGCCGGAACTTTAGATCAAAGTTTTCACGTTACTGAGGAATCCTCGAAAAGCCACGCGAGCAAAATTATGCAATCATATCTCTACGAATATTTGACTTCAACGGCACGACTGTGCGGTGAGAGTCCCGCAGTTTCCGTCTCGACTCTTGGCGCGACGGGGCGTGGTGTGTAATACAACTCATAACGTATAATTACGTGCGTCTGATTAAACATTATAATTGGTAGTTGTCCTCGCGATCCGTCCTTCGGCTGTGATAAAATCGGTTTTAACTGTCATTGGACACATATGATTCGATTACAGGTTGCGACGTAACTGTAATATGACGCGCGAGTGTACGTACACACATACGCGAGGTAATATAATAATGTAATATCGATGCGATGAATGTGTGTGTGTGCATGCGTCATGTGCCGGATTTTTCGCACCTTTTCGTGCCCGATCATGTGTGACGAATGTATGTCTGATGCAAAAATTCTCTTCACGCTTGTACGATAATGAATAATTTGTCAAATAAAATAACAATTTGACCGACAATTTTGTTGATATCTTTTATTGATTTTTGTCAACAAAATTTTGCAGTTTAACGAGCCTCGTGCGCGATTTTAATTGCGATAACTTTCTCTATACGCGACAACTCCACTTGCGCGTCACAAGAAAGAAATTAATATACACAAAAGTTTTAATGTGTTACGCGCTCCAGATCGCGAGTTATGTTACGACTTCACTAATTTCAAACGTGCGCGCGATAGTGCTGTTTGTGTATCGAAAACTTTTTAATGTACATATAACACAGTTTTGATTATTTCGCAAGAAATCAAAATGAATATAACGAAAATCTCAAGTGCAATGTGATGGTGTTCACTGCTTTTTGTTAAGTAAAAGTGTGTTACGGTTTTTTTATAGTTTTAAAATGTTCATTGTTATTTACAATGGAAGAAATATATAAATTATACTGTACATAATATAAATAAATAAATAATAAATTGATATATTTTTTATTCACTTGACAACTTAAATGTATGTAACACACGTGCGCCGTGATTTAATGACTTTTAAAATTGCCTGATTTTTGCTTGCGGAAAATAAATACTGTCACTCTGCTAACGATTAACGGAAACTGCGTGATAACGTGATGAATTGTGTCGAAAATAAATATCGACAATAAATATCGTGCAAATTGACGGTTAGTAAACTATCTTCGTGCCGTTATTTTGCGGAAAACAATTAAAATGATTTTTATATACTAAATACAGTTTTTATATGAACGTTAAAATTATTGAGTAACGCAAATTTATGTGACAAATATGTATTTGTGTGTGTGCACACATATGTACTTATAATAACATATAATAAATATAACATATCTTCTTTCTCGCACATCAAGAAAGATTGACTTATACTACTGGCACGTGACATATTTATTGATTTACACAATTTAACGTTTAAATAAATTTTATTGCTACACAAAAGCACATCCATTTACGTTTTTACACAGAAAAAAAAAACCAGTTTTGCTGAGATTACCAAATTTTTTGGTAATTTCAATCAAAATTTGGTTTCCAGAACACTTTATTTAATTTAAAAAAAAAAAAACAAATTTTGGTTATTTCAATAAAACTGGTTTTTTAATGTAGACAAATGTAAGCGGTTTTTTTCTCAATTTGTTATTATTACTTGAAATTTAAAACAGATCAACTATTTATTTGTCCGGGAACTTTGAAATCGTTTCTTGTTTCTCAAATTTTGCTTTGATCTCGAGTGGCGTAACTTTAACACGGTTTGCCGTTTAATAATCGCGACTTTTGATCAATTACACGCGAAGACGCGTACTGATAGTCAAAGCAGCTTTAGGCAACTTTCATTTATCCGTCAACGTCTGAAAAGCGAGCGAATCGTGTTTGTTAGAGATGACGGATGCAAATTAGGAAGCGTGGTCGAGGTCGAGGATAATATTTCCAAGGAAGCAAACTTAATCACGGGTAGCTCTTTAATAATCGCTTCTTGCATAACCGAGAATTTCCACGCAGCGCGACGGCGTAGTCGATATTCTCTCGCCGCGCGCGCGGTTTAATCTTTTCAAATAATTAATTAATTTACCGTGTGTACAAAAATTTATTCTTTTTCGCGTGTTACACACACACACACACATACGCCGATTCTTACCGCGCGTGCGCGCGATACGCTGTTGTTTCGCGCGCGGCAGTTTCGTTTACTGCAAAATCCGCTTTCTGTAATCCACACGTGTCATTCAGTTATGCTAATTAATACGACAAAATTGGTAGACCGTTAGTTGGTTTCCAGCCAACATTCCCGGGAAAATTCGTAACACGTTGGCGCTGTACTCGTTTAACTCTGTGTAAATGGCCGCCTCGAAGTTGCCTGCTAACTGCGATTATAGTGATGCCAAGGGCAGATTACATGTTGGTTATATACGCAACATAGTTCGTCGTTTTCGTGTCAAACGAGTCGTGAGGGAGAGACGCGCGTGGTAGTATTCTCACTTCGTGTTATTCTCTCGGCGAGAGATATATAATATACGTATAACAAACTCTCAGCTGTTTTCTTAATCAAAAATAAATACACCGGCGCGAGTTTGTTCAAAACAAAGTTGTTGGCAGCAACAACGTTTCTGAATATCTGGTGATTATTAGCGTGATGATTTTTTTTTTTAATTTCTTGCGTAGAGAGAAGATGAACGAGATGGAGCAGATTCCTGAGGGTTGAGATTGGTCGCCGATCCTCGAGAGATGACCGGTCGGAGGATGCAGCCGAGCGCCTCGCTGTTTGGCGTAATCGCCATTATCCTCGCCGTGATCATTGCTACCGCGTCAGGTGAGTGATTTTTAACGTACGGAATTATATTGTTTCAATCTTCCGTGTTTTATTTTTAATCCTCTTTCATTAGTAATCGGTTGAAACAACGGAGCGCGCCGTTTATAACTGTGAATACTTTGCGATTTAATATCATTAAACAAACAAACGGTTCATCTGGTTTTTTAGTTTATCGGAATTGCGAGGATTTTTAATTAACCTGAATACCTGTAACTCCGCGCGCTCCGTGAGCGTCGAGTTGTAACAATAGCAAACGACCGTGGCCAAGCGAGAGAGATAAAGAGAGCGAAACTCTTTTGTAACTACCCGAGCCCGTTGTTCTATACGATCTTGCGAGGATAACCCCAGCGGAGTTTACCTTCTTTGCCCTTCCTGGCAATCACCATCTCATAGGCGAACGTTTCCCCGCGCAGTTACGTTACGCCCTGGTGAAACCCGATAATAACAGAGACGAGAGTGCTCAATATTGCTTAATGTTCCCCGAAGGAAGGATAAATTGAGATGTGTGTGTTGTTTCTTCTTTTTCTTTTTGAGAACGTTCGAGAGAGAAAAATGACGAGATAGAGTTTTCGCAAAGATCTAAAATATCAGCGATTTATTGTATTGTTATATACGTGCGTGATTTCATATCACTTGTGTGTTAATTGTGTGTTATTAAAAATAAAATTGATTGATGTGAATTACGTAACGCGCGTGCATATTAGATACAAAATTTAAACCTTCGAAGATCCGTACAATGTGAGAAAACTGCGTCTCCGTGTCTGCGAGGAATAATCCGGGTAATTTTCTTCTTCGCACGTCTCGCGAATTTGTCTATCACACGTGACATGCGTAAATCCCTTGCTGACAAATTGCGGAGCGCGAAGACGGGCGCGCGCGCGTTTACTTCGGCATGTCCGACCGATTGCGCGGAATGGTTGGCGGTAAAACGCGTCTGGCTCGAAAGTAGAAAAGGGAATTAGGTGCGAAAATTTTTCGCACAAACGCGGCGAATGAAAAATGATATTTTACTTATGCATCGGTTACTCGGAGGGTCGAGAGAGAGAGAGAGAGAGAGAGAGAGAGGGAGAGGGAGAGGGAGAGAGCTCCGATCTCCCTATCGTAAGCTATCAATCACAAGGAACAAACGCTAAAGTGTATCTTTATTTTGCGGCGTTCTGCATCGCGCGCTCACAGCTAATCGCCGAAATTTTGCACGAATCACCTGCACACTCTCTCTCTCTCTCTCTCTCTCTCTCTCTCGCGGCAATGGCGCTTTTAAGCGCTGGCTGCCGATATCGCACGGCGACGATCAATCACTCGCAACAGTCAGTGTGTATTCAGGTCGCGAGATCGAAGAAAAAGCGCCTCTTTCCCTCTCCCCTTTCCAACGGGGATCGGCAACAAAACCCAAGACGAGGCGAGCGTCTTATCTAATATCGTGGGATATAGTGTTGCGCTCGAAGTACATTCAGCGAGAGATCGGATATCGCGCCGCGCGCGCACGAATAGGGCCGGTCGCAAAAAGTAATACGTTTCCCGGAAATCACGTGAATACGAAAGGTAATTGGACAACATTGAAATATACGTATACTTCACCGAGAAAGCACCGCCGATCGATGCTCTCACAATACCTACATTTTTAAAAACGGTTCAATTTTTATTAACTTGTTTCTCTCCGGATGTAGTACGTCTTGAATGAAGATAAATCGAATGGAGCAAATATAAAAATCGAGATAAAACAATTTTCCTCTAGAAGTAAGAATTGCTCAAAAGAATCATTCGGTGTATACGCGCGCGCGCAGCTTCTCTCTTAAAATAAATTATTTTTCAAAACCATATCCTTTTCCAAGAAAATCCGCGGGTTGATTGAACGCGGAGAACACGGAACAAAGTAAATCGTGAAATATTGACTTTTTTACAAGAGAATCGCGCGAAGGAATATCCAGCAATATCTGCAGATTTCCGGCGGAAATCACTTTACACATGTCCGACGTTTTATAAATCATTGGGCGAACGTCATCGGAGCAGTCAGATACACGCACACAACGTTAACTGGACACGATCGATCGATCACTCCGCGACGCAGAGCGCGGCGCTAAATTGTTTCGGAACGACGACGAACGAACGTCACGTTGTTGTTGCTGTTGCCATTACAGCCCGGGCGCTATCAACGGTGATTTGATATCGACTCCCGTAAACAAGATCGCTGTTGCCAAATATCGCGGTGTATATCGACTTGCTGACGTTTGCGCAGCTTCCGGACGATCGGCGAGATCGGAGATTCTTGAAATTTTCACCTATCTACATCGACGATATAGATCGTATCTGCACAGACACGGTTGTTTAAATTGTAGAAAAAAATGTAAAATCTAAGATTCACATGCGGAAAATAATCTTACGTTAAAAAAAAGTTAAGAATAATTTTATGTAAAATTGAAAAAAATTCAAGATTTGTAAATACTATGAAACTGGTTTTACATTAAAAATCTAATCCTAGATTCAAAAATTCGCTGTAAGTAGTACGTGGGCACGTATGGCGCGTCAAAACAAACCCCCTCCACCTGGCCCCCCCACCACTTCTGGCGCCATTGCCCCACCACGGTGGATTTCCCCCTCCCTTGGTGGTGACTGGCCACGCCCACTGGAGGGGATGGAGAAGTG